TGCTGAGCATGCACTCTACCCCTGAACTATATCCTCTCCCAGTTATGTTTCTTAATTGTAACCAACAGTGTCTTTTCTTTCTGAAGTATTATAGGAAGTCGAACAAGTATATTATGATTTTCACCTATGTTAAAGTGGTCCAGAAATATCTGCTCTATGTGCCCACTGCCAGTTAAAGGCCACCATCATTTCTTGCCTGTTCTGCTGTTTTTCTGGTCCCATTCTTGGTCCCCCGTAGCCCATTCCTCACACAAAGCCAGCTATCTTTGAAAAATGTAGATCAGATCATATCCTTCTTCAGTTTGAAATTCGTCTGTCACTTCGCACTGCAGTTGGTATACGATCCACTTGTTCTAACCATGGTCTGTAAGATTCTCCGTGATCTGAGCCCGCTTGGCCTTCTTGACCTCTGCTCGTCCCTGTGCCTCCGTCTTTTAGCCTCATCTGCTTCCTTCTGTTCCTTAAAAATGCCAAGCTCTTTCCTTCCTCAGAGCCTTCACACTTGCCCGTAACTCTTTTCTTTAGATCCTCACCTAGCCGATCCCTTGACATCATTCAGATTCAACTTCAAATATCACCTCTCAAAGAATCCGTCTGATCACTCTGTGGAAAGCAGCCTCCCGTCAGTCTCTGTCCTGTTACTACTCTGTTGTCTTCACAGCCCTTGTTACTATTTGAAATTATTTTATTTTTATGTTCTGTCTTTTCCTGCTAAAATGTTCTCTCTATAAGAATGGGGACTTTGTTTGATGAACTTCTATGTGCTTAGCACCTAGAATAATGCCTGGCATGTGGTAGATGCTAACTTAATAGTGAGTGAATGACAGAGTAACTCAGATGTTGGTGTTAGAGAAGACTGCCTGAGAGATTGAGTTCTATGTAATTCCTATTTTCACACACATTGGACTTTATTGAACTTTATTTTATTTTTTAAACTAAAACCAGAATGCCATTTCAATACAAGAGAAATGGAACTATTAAGTAGACTATATGCTTTTCTTTGAAGATGAATGTACTCCCTCTGGTTAAAAACTCCATGGGAAGTAAATATAAAAGGACGAGGCTACTTGTTAAGCACAGATCAGGCACAGGGACTTAGAAATTAAAAAGATCCAAAGCTTTAGTGCTGGAAGAGGACTGAAGGATCACCATGAGAATGGTTCCTCAAAACTGGCTGTCCCTGAAAATCACACAGGGAGCTTTAATTTAAAACCTACGCACACAAAGCCACACGGTTTTCAGTCTCTCCTTGGGAGATTCTAGTTGGTTAGGTTTGGTGTTAGGCCTGGAGAATCCATGTTTTATCTAAATGCTGCTGTAGTGATTGATGGTGCTCAGCCAGGATGGGGAACCAGTGACCGAGCCCACCTCTGTTCCCAGCTGAATATACTAAATACACTGTGTCTCACTCTGGGTCACCCATATGGGAGGCTGGGAGGTGGCACTCAAATTTCCCGACCTCCTCTCTGCTCTGTTCATTAAAAACGTAGTAAGAAAGATTCTTAGAGACAGAGGCGGTACAGCCTCGGAAATTGTGGGTTTATTACTTTTTTCTTTATTGACATGTAACTAACCAGTCTGGTGTCAAACAGGAAATGTTTAGAGCGGAGTTTTCCTTTTTCATTATAAACTGTCAGCTCAACTCTGTTTTAGTACTGGGCTGTAGGGTGATGATCAGAGTGTGGTTCTGGGACCAACACCAGCAGCAGCACCCTGGGACTTGTTAGGAATGCAGATTCCTGACTCCACCCAGAACTGCTGAGTCTGGAACTCTGGAGATGGCCTAGCAGTCTGTCTTTTATTCTATTTTTAAATTCTTATTTATTTTTTAATCAAAGTATAGTAAGTTTATAATGTTGTGTTAATTTCCAGTGTGCAACATAGTGATTCAATTATACATATATATATATTCTTTTTGATTATAGGCTATTACAAGGTATTGAATACAGTTCCCTGTGCTGTTCAGCAGGATCTTGTTGTTTATCTGTTTTATATATAGCAGTTAGTATCTATAAATCTCGAACTCCCAATTTATCTCTCATCCCTCATTTCCTCCCCTGGCCAGCAGCTGTTTTTTCAAGCCATCCAGGTGACTCTGATGCCCAATGAAGCTTGAGAACCACCATCCGCAGGTCCTTTTTCCCACCAAACCATCAGTTAAAGCTGCTGGCCTCAGCATTTTAGTTGGTGACTCATTAACATGGAGGCTCTAACTTAAGCCAGCTCTCTGCTTTCTTGGTGACATTTGTTCAAAATAGGAACTTCTGTTACAAATCTTCATTGAATGCCACGTAAGAAAGGGGTTGGAGAATAGATTAATATTTATCGAACGCCTGCTGGGTGTGAGGCCCTGTGTTTGAAGCCATTACTTGTTATCTCATTTAATTCTCACAACCACCTTGCTAGGTAGGCATTATTATCCTTATTTTACAGATGTGGAATCTGAGGCTGGTGGAGGTTAAAAGTGGCCTTTCTTACAGGTCATTTGCCTAGCTTTGGTTGTACATTTTGCTGTCTGTTGTCTCCGTAGAGGAGCTGCTCTCAAACCTTATTTTGTATAACCAGGAATCCTCTGGGACGCTTGTTATGAATGCAGATTCCCCAGACTTCCTCCCAGAGATCCTTATTCGGGGATCTGGGTGGAACCCAGGATTTTCATCAACTACTCCATGTGATTCTGCAGTCAGTGGGCATCGGGCCATGTTTGGAGGAGTTCTCTCCTGGGTCCAATCACTTTTGCCTCAGTGGTTAGATCAGATGCCTCTCAAGGCTTCTCTGAGGTTCTGTGGTTCTCCACGGTTTTGTGCTCACAGGCCTTGGGCACTGGGCGGGGACGCTGGCAGAAGAAATACAAACATGGGACGAGGGAGCTTGGGAACCCATACAGAGAAGCCTCTTAGACGCCTGGCCATTGAGGCTTTCAGCTGCCTCTTAGAGGGTTCCCAGGCCATGTTTTTGTTTTGTAACTTAAGATCTTTTCAGTTATCTCCCCCAAATTGTGCAACTTTTCTTACAGCAACTTCATCCTTGTGTTGGTGGGCTGCCCTGGTGTGAGCAGCTTCCTCTGGGCTATAATTATTATCTTTCAAGTCCTGAGCTGCCTTTGAGGTCTGAAGTGGCATTTCATCTGTTGGTTGATAAGATCCCTTATTTTTCAGGCATAGAATTGAACAGACGTATTTAGTGAATGAATTGTTAATCTGTTAGGAGACTATGATTTGGTGCCATTGTGAAGGAAGAAAGTAAGATGTAAATTAAAAAAGAATCTCAGGTGTGATGCCTGATGCCCTTCTTTGGGAGTTGGAATGCTGGTTTCCGTCCGGAAGTTTAGAAGCAGCTACTGACATAAGAACCCCAGGGCTCCCATAGTAAGAAAGACGCATGTATCCAAAGACGGCAGAAATCTCTCAGGCCCGGTGGAGAACTCAGCAGTATTGAAATATTAAATGTATTTAATAAGTCTTAGTCCCTGAAACAAATTGTGTAGGACAAAGGTGGAGGGAGAGTCACAAAAGCAAACATTCCTGGGGTCCACCATATAGAAGGCAAATTATTTTTGCCAGTAAGAAAACAACCAAGGTACAGGTTAAGTTGCTAAGAATAATTTGTTTTGCCCCTGATATTAGAGTCGGTAATAACAGTAGGTAACTGAGTACAGTAGCTAGAGCTCCCATTTATTGAGAGCTTCCCGTGTGTCAGGAATTATATGAGCATTTCTCTCATTTAATTCTCAATAGACTTTCAAAGTAAATATTATCCTTCATTTTACAGATGATAAAACAGGCTCAAAAGGATTAAGTAATTTGACCAGTGCTGAGACTGGGGTTTCCAGGTATGTAGGACTGTCAGTGCTAAAACTCAGTCACAGGTAAGCTGGGACGGCTGGTTACCTCAAGTGCCACCCAGCTCACTGCCCTCCAGTTGAGAGTTAGGAAGTAAGCCCCGCGGGCTCCGAGTAGTCAGAGAGAAGGTTCGTGTATGGAAGCTCGCTGACTTGTCCCACAGAGAGACTTCCAGAACGTGTCTGATGTCCATTTTTCTCCATTTCACACGTAATTCTGATCTTGCTTATTTGGTTTCCAAGTGTCTTGTCAATTAGAAGCTGCAGGTTGGCAGGGGAAGGGGTGACTCTAGAAAGGCACACTGATTCCTCTAGCAAGGGACAGATGGCTAACTGACAGTGAAGGTGAGGGCCAGGAGAGTGAAATAGAAACTAATAAAACACAAAGTCAATACAGCATCAAAGGGCATTTATTACAGGGCAAACATTCCTTGATAGGCAGAGCTATTATTGAACATTTGCTATGCACCAAACACTGTTTTAAGCACTTTACAGGGTTCACATAATTCAATTTTTACCAAACAACCCTACTATTATCCCTGCTCCACAGATGAGGAAACTGAGGCACAGAGAGGGAAGCAACTTGCAGAAGGTCACACAGCCAGTGAGTGGGAAAGTGGGATGCAGAGCCAGGCAGCCTGTCTCCAGAGCCCAGATCCTCAGCATCCCATCTCAGTGTGGGTCCCAGACCCTGAGGATGTAGCACATGTCAGTGGTGTTTATTGTGATGGCCTGGAGCAGCCAAGAAAAAACCTTAAAGCCTGGGCATTACATTTCATTTTGTAGTAATTCACTTTTACAATTTTATCAGGGTTCTATGTGGGCAGAGTTCTACCAGGACTGTTAGGAGAGTCGTGAGAGTCCCCACCCCCAGCCCATTTCCTGCTCCCCACAGTCAACTGCTTACAATTCTTGCAGTCAATTGACCCTTCCTGGTCTTTATAACCCTCGTCTCTAAATGATGTACTTCTGTTTCCATGGTTGCGTTTTCAGTTTTAGACATTATCTATGGATGCTTTGGGCTAGAAGAAGAGAATTTTTGCTAGTTTTGCCACCTACCCCTGCCACTCGTGTGCACCATTTCCGTCTCCTCCTTCTCCCAGCAGTGACATCATAGTCTTAGTTCCAGCAGCATATCTTGGCTCCTTTCAATGTTTAGGCTTCCCTCCTGGGTTGGGCAGACTATCCAGAGAAGGCCATTTGAACCACCTGCCTGTGGAGTAAGCCTGCTTTCTGCAAGTCCAGCCTGAAGGTGGGGGTTGGGGGTGGAGGTGTCTTAACATTTACTCTGTATCTTCTCAGTGCCTCCCCTGCCACCACTGAGGTTGGGGTGACTCAGAGACCCTCTGAGAATTTGACCCTCAGAGTTTTACTCTCTCCAGAGAATAAACCTTCAACTTCTGCCAGAGCTAGAGGAGGTCCCAAGGCTGGCAAGTGTGAGGATTGGGGTGGAAACAGACTTCCACCAATTTTAGCCCCACTTTACCCTCCCCCCTCCTCCAGAGGTGTTTGGGGCTCCAACCACCTGAGCCTTTCTGAAGATTCTGTGATGAGCTGCTTCTCGCCTTTCCTACTGGCTGATAAGGAGTCAGCTTTCCCGGGTCTGCTAATCAATGACCTCTTGTTCATCCACTTTCTAGCTTCCCACACTGTGTTGCTGTTGTTTCCACTCACTTTGATTTGGTAAGTTGATGTCTCTAAGAAATAAAGTTCTCCTCATTGTTTTATTAGTGAGATTTGGGGAGGTGGTAGCATTAAATGTGTTTAGTATGCCATCTTTATCCTGAAGCCTGAAAGACATTTTTGAAAGCTTTCAATACAAGGAGCTTAAAAAAAGGTGGTGTTGCTCTATGGGGAAGGAAGACTGAGAGCTCTATGAAGAATGGGGTTGTCTAAGTTTTGCTTGCTACTCCAAGGGTAGTTCTAGGACGAGGAGCATCTTTGTTACCTGGGTATCACCTGGGTGCTCATTAGAAACGCAGAATCGCGAGCCCCACCCAGACCTACTGAATCAGCATCAGCAGTTTAACAAAATTCCCAGGAGACTCTCAGGCTTGCTGAAAGTTGAGAAGTGCTAATATGAAACTTTACTCAATTACTGTAATTTAGAATAAGCTAACTGGGATGAATTTTAATAAGGGATTTAAAACTTGGTAAATTCCCTTACTAAATTAATTATTCTCCAAATTGTGGAGGTGGCTATGAGAGAATAAAAAGGAATACATGTGTTTTCATGAATATGCACCCTTTCCCCTTCGTAAACCATGTGAACCAAAAACTCCATGCCATTTAGCACAAGGGATGTCAGGCTGGTTATGTTCAGGCATCTCCCGTTGCTCACAGTTCTTCCAGTTGGTGTTGGGACTTTGCAGATGGTGTAGGAGGAGTCTGCAGTCACACTCTGAGTGGTCCAGGTGAGAGGGTGGCTTCCCCTGGAGGCCAAGGGAGGAGCAATTGGTCTCATACCCAGCATCCAACCCAGTGACAGGCACGTGTTCAACTAGGGATTGTAGAATGAATGTGTCAAATAAGACACAGTTCCTGCCTTCAAGATATTCACCAACCAGCAAGAAATAAACTGGATAATTATCATACTGGGTTGACCTGTTCTTGGAAAGAGTAAGCGCAGAAAAAGGGCATCTAACGCAGCATTACCTGCAGCAGGAGGAGCCGAAGGATTAAGTCTCTTGGAGAACAGATTTGGTGGGTTAGAGCAGGGGCGCTCAGGGGAATGTATCTGAATCACCTGGCGGGCTGCTTAAAACACAGACCGCTGTCCCCTATCCTTAGAATTTCTGATTCCGTACATCTGGGGTGGACCCGCAAGTGTGCATCTCTAAATTTCCCAGGTGATGCTGATGGCATTGCTGTCACATTTTGAAAACCATTTTAGGGAAAAAAACTGATTGAGAGAATTACAAATAGTTCTGGTGGCTGGAGTCAGAAGGCAGGGAACAGTCAGTGATAGAGAAGGCAAAGGTCTAAGGACTGGGGAGTTTACTGGCGAGGTCGTGGGAGCCATTGACAGGTTCTGCAGAGGACAGTGATGGACACCTACTTGCCTTTGGAAAAATCACTTTGGGTGCCGTGTGGCAGGTGGGTCAGTGGCTGGGCCAGAAAACCAAATATGTGGTTGATCACAGCCATTTTGATGAGAAAGAAAAACTTGGAATAAAGGTGAGAGGAGAAATGATTCCTGGAACTTGGCAGCTCATGGAAGTGGTGGGGGTAGTCACTGAGGACCGTCAGATGTCTGGCCGGTATGTGTGGAGATTGTGTTACCCAAGACCTAGGAAGAGAAGTGGGTCTGAAGCAGGATCTGGAGAGAAGAGTGCAGGAGGTAAGTTGAGGGAAGGACATGCTGAATTTAAGATCAGCAAGACATGTGGGTGGACCCCCTCAAGGTGACAGTTTTACTTATGGGTCCGGAGGCCAGAGCAAGAGGTCTGGGAAGTCAACTAGCCACATGACTTCTGCCACTTCTATTGATCTCCTGTAGTGTTTGTTTGGATCAGGCATTTGCAAAGAAACTATATTAGTATAACCTTTAAGGGCCCTGAGAATGCAGTGCTTTGAAAGATGTTTTCTTGGGAAATCAAATGTTCTACTCTTTTGATTAGGGGAAAAAAACAGTTGAAGTCCTATTTCTAACACTGGAAGAGGTTAACATAGCTGCCTTCTTTCTGAGAGGCCAGGAGAATTGGGTTTTAGGAAAAGCTTGAAAGGGGCAAAATCACTTGACTGGTTTGCAGGCCATATGACAACCAGCTGAGACTAATTAGCTGGATTGTGGGTTTTTACAAAGATGCCTGATTTTGAAAGTTGATGGAGCGAACTGCTTTTCGAAAGACTCTTTTGAAAACCGTTTACAAGTAGGCGATTTTAACTTTAACATTTCTGTTTGTATTAGACGAAAAGTGCCTTTTTAGAAGAGGACATGTGACTGCAAGTTGTCTAACTGTTGAAGTGTTGGGAATTCCAGCCTCTAAAGCCGTAGGAAAATCAAGCAACGATTTATATTCTGTCAAGGTATGGTTTTGGTTTTGGGGGGTGGGTAGGGGCGTAGAGGTTTTGAGTTTGGCTTTGCCAATTTTTAGGTACTTAAAATATTTGCAGTTTAACATAAAATATTGCACGTATTAAGTTTTTTTTTAAACCAAAGACTTCCTCAAGATGTCTACTACCTTTTGTGGGTCTAGTTTGAAAAGTGCATTTTCAATGTAAGTTTCTTGGGTTTAGTTTGAAAAGTGCATTTTCAGTGACCAGAGAGTGGGTCTGAGTACTGACTGCATTCTTCCTTCCTTTCTTTTCTGTACTTTATCAAAGTGACAAAGGCTCTTATTCTCGGATAATATATTGAATAAGAGAGCTGGTTAAGGAATTGAACTGCTCAAAGAGCCTTGCTTGTCCTCTGAGCATTTTATCCACAAAAATTCAAGCTTATTGGGATTTTGTTTTTAATACTGTTAATATTAATGGAGGCCTGTATAAGTATGTGTTTAGTATAAGGTGTGTTCTGACAATTACATTTGCCTTCAATTAATTTTGATGTGTTTGGAAATGTCATGGTGATCCTGTAAGGAAAGGTCCAAATAGTTTAGAGATGCTCAGTGACGGGACGCAGGAATGCAAGATCAAGGTGGGAGTGTGATGGGGTGTTTTCCTCTACTTTGAGATACGTGCTAGATACGTGCTAGGACCACCATAGCACAGTATCACAGACTGCAGCTTAAGTAACAGACTTCTCGTCTGACAGTTCTCGAGGCCAGAAGTCTCAGATCGTGGTGTTGGTAGGGTTGGCTCCTTCTAAGAGTCGAAGGAGGAGGCTCTGTTCTAGGCCTCTCTCCGTGGCTTGGAGAGAGCTGTCGTCTCCCTGTGTCTTTTCTCTCATGTTTCCTCTATGGGTGGCTGTGTTCATATTTCTTGTCCTTATAAGGACACAAGTCATGGGATTAGGGCCCACCCACCCTCATGACCTCTTTTTACTTTGATTACCTCTCTGAAGACCCTGTCTCCAAATCAGGTCACATTCCAAAGTCCTGGGAGTTAGGACTTTCAACATCTGAATTTTGGGAGAACACAGTTCAGCTCATAACAGATACTTTTGAAAGATCTCATTACAGTACATTTTAAAGAGTTGCCTCCATGTGCAGGCGATGAATACTTGTTAAGCAAAGTGCTGAGACTGTTTTGGATGTGGCGTACATGAAGAGGCACAAGATGTGGTCTCTGCCCCCTAACGTCGGTCGACTCAAATGTATGGATATAACATCATGAGTGTATGTGTTCACTCATCTCTTCCACTGAACTGTGGCCACTTGCGTAGCTGGGTGTCCCTGGAGACGCAGTCAGCATCCTGGCACACAGGCAGCGTCATATTCTTTGAGAGGCACCTGGAAGGGCTCCTTTGCTCCTGAGCACCCTCAGAATAGGCTCGGAGAGTAGAAGGACCCTTAGCATTCATCTAGTCTGACCTCCTCATTTCACAGAGGAAGAAATTGAAGCTTCAAAGTGCTAAGGGCATTTGGTCGATTATAGTGTCAGAGCCAGTGCAGTGCCTGACTTCCAGTGCACCAACCAATACATCATTTTCTTTTCTTTGCCGCAAGTTCATGCTTTCACCTAGGAGTGAACCCTGAGTCCCATTGTCAGAAATTGCTGGGAAAGAGCCTGGATAAAAAGCTGGCATTCTCTGTTGAGATTCTTGGGTTCTAACTACCAGAAAGAAAAAAAAAGCTTGGGGGAGGAGTGTTGATTCTCGAGGGCACCTCACCCATAGAATGCCCAGCTTGTACCGAGTGCGTCCCAAAGGCGTCTCCTCCCACCTTGGCTGCTTTCTCCGTCTCTTACCACTTTCCCTTAGATCTTTCCAGACTGGGTTCAGTGACCCAGAAGCCGTTAGAATACAAACAACATTTTTTCTTCTTTCTTGCTACTGCTGCCACCCACAAGACAGGAACTGCGGCAGAGAGAGAATGTTGATGCAACGCTGCCGGCCGCAGGATGGCACCATGGCAACCAAGACCTGCGCACGTTAGCAGGGCTGGGAGCCCAGGGTGCGTCCTTCTCTGCCGCTGCTGCAGCTTCTGCGCTCTCCAGACCCTCAGCCCTTGAGAGCTCACAGCACAGGCTCACCACCTCCCTCTGTTTCTCTCTTCCCCTTTGAGGATTCAAGCTTCCTGAGATTTTGGCCCGTGTTTTGCTGTTATTCCTGCCTCTGAACTTGGTTGATTTATAGCTGGAGCCGGGTGGCAGCAGCTGTGAAAGCTGATGAGTCATGGACCAGGTCCATGAAAAACAAAAGCCGATTTTTGCCGAAGCCATAATTCTTGAGTGCTGTCTTTGCAAGAGGACACCTTCCTGCTTTCTTCAGTGCTCCCGGGGTGGCTGCAGCATGGCTGGGGCCCTGCCCTCTTAGCCAAGCAGAGGCTGGGTTCAGTGGGGGTTGGAGGGTAGGGAGGGAGGTGATGAAACGAGATGAAGACGCTGCTTGAGGGATGAGCTTGCATTGCTCCTTCTTCTCTGGAGGCAGAAGCCACTTGGCTCAAACACAGATGCAAAGCATCCAAGAGCTGAGAGCATCAATTTGTTTTCTTCTTTTACCATTTCATGATCTCTTGTGCTTCTCTTCTCCCCTGTATAATCTGTAAAGGGATCCTTTAGCTCTAAGTGCTGGATTTATCACTTGGCAAATATTGAATGGATCCTTTGTTGTCACAAGGAGAACGTCCAGGCTGCTTTGAGCTCGCACCTCTGTGCTGTGGTGCCTGTCCCAGTCTGTGGACTCTCGCTTGAAAAATCTCCTTCTTGGTGTCCTTCTTGGAAATCTCGTGCTGAACCTTACATTTCGGGTCTCTCTTCACTCTAAATGGCCGTCCTGTCTCTCCCACGGCCTCAGGAAATCAACTTGTGTTGATGACTCTAAAATCCATATTGTTAACTCTTATTTGAGCCCAAGTTCTGTTTCCCAAATGCCGACTACACACAGCTCTCTGGATGTCTCTGAAACATGAGGGGCATTTAACTGCTCGTGTCCCTTATAGTGTTGCATGGTAGTTGAGAGCGTGTATGGGTTCAAATCTTGACTTTGCCTTTTATTGGCTGTGTGACACTGAAGAACTTACTTAACCTGCCTGTGCATCATTTTTCTCATCTGTAAATTAGTTCATGGGGTTGTTATGAGGCCCTAAATGGGTTAATATTTTCAAGGGCTTAGAAAAGTATTCAGTGTTAGTTATAATCATCTCAAACCAGCTTTTCCTCTCTTGGTTAATGATAATGCCTTTCATTCAGTTACCAAACTAAAAGTTTTGTTTCTCTTTAACTCCTCTACCAGTTTATTAAGAAATTATACCGATTTTCTGCCTCCTAAATATATCTTGAATTAATCCCTTCCTCTTCATTCCTGCTGTCACCAACACAGGTCACTCACTGCCTCTCCTCATCTATTCCTGGTCTCTGTATTCCCAGCCTTCCCGTGGCTTCCAGAAAGATCTTTCTAAGGTGCCGACCTTGTGTTCTTCTCCTTCATAAAAGCCTGCAGTGCCTTCCATTGCCCAGAGGATAACGCAGAGACTTTCTAGTGCCATGTAAGAGTCCTTTCAGTCCTGGGTCCCAAAGTCTCTCCCATCTTTTCAGCCTGTCTAGACGCCTCCTCTCTCACTCCCATGCAGCCCTTGAGCCGCGTCCATCTGCTGAGATTCCCTAAATGCATCATAACCTTTTCCCTCTTAGACGTGTGCAGGTGCAAATGCTCTTCCCTGACTTCCACCCTCCCAGTTGCTCACCGCAGCACCTGCTCTCTTCTCATGACTCTAAGCCTGGTCTGTGTTTTTACTTTGGGCAACAGACAGCCTTCACCTCATTCCATCAAAACTCAGTTACACCTTTTGGGTTGGCGTCGGTGACCCTTTTGTTGATGGCGTCCGTTATCCTCAAAGGATAATGCTTATTTGACATAGGAGGTCAAGTCCTTTACCACATTGTCAATGAACTGTGATTTTTGTTCATTCACGTTTGTCATTTGTCCCTCTGTGTACTGATGTAAGTCCTTGTCTCAGGTGCCCCCTGTGCAGTGGCGTGGTGGCCCCACCCGCTCTACCCCAGGCCTCCCCAGTGCCCAGTGTTGTGTGCACATTCCTGTAACAGTTTTCCTCCCCCTGCATTTTCACTGTTCATAGCCACGTAGAGTGCTGCTGTTAGACTGCTGCTCTCCCACAGCCTAGTTGTCGGTGCTTAACGCGGTGATGCGGGCACGGCTGGTTCTCAGTGCTAATTTGTTAGATGCATGATGTTTTAACCGATGGGTTCAGCAGCCACCACCTGATTTCAGTCATTCCTACCAGGCTCTGCTGGTAGATTATCTTTGGATCATTGGTGTAGGACAATCCACTTATCAAATTTTATTTAAAATTATTAACACCTTTTGGATTGGTATTTATGTATCACTTTGCATTCAGTTTTGGTTGTGATGAAAGATATTTGGTGTTTCTGTATTTCTTGGGATGTACTTCCATATCTGTCATAGACATTCCCTACATCATCCTATGCTGTATAATTTTTGCAATTTTATATTTGTCTCTTGAGCCAAGTTTTTCCTCTAAAGTAACTGAAAAGTGCTGTTAAAATAATAGATTTCCATCTTGTCTAGTTTTTATAGTCCTGAAAAGTGTTTAAGAACTAAAAGTCATTGGAAAGAAATAAGATAGGCTGTTTCTTTTCAGTTTTTATTGAGATATAGTTGGTTATAATGTGTCAGTTTCTGGTGTACAGCATAATGTCCCATAGACTGTTTCTTTAATGACCTTAGAAACTTACTGCTGGCAGTGGTCTTGGGGCTTTTAGGAGTCAGGTATGAACTACAGTTTTATATATTCTTGTAATGTTTAATCTGCTTTTCTTAGGATTAAAGGCTCTAGAGGTTTGAGAGCTGTTTGCTGATTTCTATTTTTTTTTAACTGCCCCTTTTCATTTCCAGATCATGCCTTATCTAACATCCTTGGTCAAATAAATATATTTTATGAAGCTAA